TTATTACCGGCACCGAGAACTTTGGTATTACGGTATGAACCCTACACAGTTGTCGTCAGACGCGGATACAATCCTTTCCTTAGTAAATTCGCCCTTTTTGAAGAAGCCCTTAGTATGCGTCGCCGTTCTTTCGCGTGGCGCTGTTATAAAAAAACATATTTCTTTCATATTAGCTGATCGGTCTGACCGGTACTTCCAAAACAGAATAATAAGTTTACAGTAAAGTTTCCGTTTTGCCCGAATGGGTGTATAGAGGAAGGTGTCCGTATTTCGGATACCATTTTGTTTCTAAGGTGTGAAATTAAAAATATTAAACCTTTGGTTAAGGATTTCACTTTGTTTCCTCCTATAAATAATATCCGTTAGGATCCCAAACATCCAATGTAAAGAAAGAAATTTTTTAATACAGGTATAATATATGTATTTTCTTAAATTTCGGATACGCGAAATTAAACACTATTGACTAACCGACATTAGGGCATTACGAGAAATATTTTTGAATCCACATGTGAAACTAACCTTAAAACTAATCACGCCAACTCGACTAGACAATAAATACAGTTAATCACGTTTGTTCTACACTTTAAAACAAAGTATTAATGCTTACCACCTGCGCTCCAGCTGTGTTCGAAGTTGACATCTTCAAAAACTCGGTTTTTACGATATTTTAAAATTATTTTTGTTCCGTACCCGCAGCTCTAACGCTCACGACGACGACACAGATTTAATATGGCGGCGAGAGCTTCCCTTGATTATCGTTAGCAGCGTGATCTAGTGACTGGGTTACGAATTATCACGCTATCCCACATGAAGGCACCATCCGAAATATGGACACCTTCCTCTAATTCTGTAATCGTAGGACAAATAGAGTTCTAAATCCAGTAAGTTACGTCAGAAACGAAGAGAAATTCCCGGTAACTTATCGGTAATTTCTCCAAAGCCTTTTTTATCGAGAAATTATGAGAATTTGAATTTTTCAACAGAGCGAACGAGAGGTTTCGATTAGCTATAGAGAAACATCGTAGAGGGGAAATTCAGTTGTACGTTCTCCGTAGCCAATCAAAACCTCCCATTTGCTTCGTCGCAGAATGATATATCAGTTCATTTGAAACAAATCGCATAGAATTTTCCGTGAAGTTGTACATACGTGAATATTTTTAGCTGGAGGTAAATACGACCCTATAATCAATATTTTCTAATAGTAATTATTACTCTTTAGCTTGAACTTCGAATTTGATTGAAACAAAAAAAGTTATTTAAACGAAGAAACCTAAAGTATAAATAACAAAATTAACGTTCTCTTAAATTCTCAATGTTCCCGGTAACTTACGGTATGTTTCACAGTTACCTTCTGCAATTTAATGTTACCGAGAATTATCGAACTCTAAGGACAAACAAAAAACTGTACCGACTTGTCCTATGACTATGGCATTCTTATCGAATGATTAATCTTTTCATTTGCGTGCTGGCCTCAGTAATTAGCCAGTCACTGCCTTGTTAAATATACATTCATTATCCGCGCAACGCGGATTAGCTGCAGCCACGTGACTGAAATATTATAAACGAGACGGAATGGTTCTGCGCCAACATTGAAAGTTTCGGGATGTATTATTTTTCTTGGACTTTAGACTTCTTAGATTAATTACGATTTCCAGACTTGTGACAGGTCATTTCGTAGCAGAGTTCTGAACAAAGCGGGGTCTGGTTCTTTCGATCCGGGCCGTGTTATGAACTATGCATAGAAATGCCCCACCGGACCGTGTCAAGTTTTTGGAACATTAACATAACCATATCCCTAATGAGGAACATCCATCTCGGGACGAATCTCCTGCATACTGATTCTAGATACCGCGATGCGACTCCTGATACCACCAATTCTAGCGCGATACAATTGGTTCGTAATGCCGACAACCGACTGAATCGTTTATAATTACAATATCTAGTCCTAGCAAACGAAATACCCGAAGTCCTTGTATTGGACTTAATATGAATGTTGAATCTGAAATCAAAAAACTACGAATGACGCGAAGAAATTTTACTCGTTTACTTAATTTTTTTGTTCGTCCTGCGGTTTGCATTTCTCCAAATTGAATAAATCTATACGAAAGAGTTACATATTGAGATCGATAATGATTACCATTATTTGTCTATATAATTCACAGGAAACCGTCTCTTCGATGGCATTCATGGTTCCCGGTTGTTCGGGCCAAAACTCCCGAAATTCTCTGAAAATGAATTTCCTAACACGTTGTATCCGCTTATGGAGGACACGCGTTAATTGCAGCTGCGCGCACAAAAGGGAACCCTTTTGACTGGTAGCAACGTGTGTCAGGCATTTTAAGGCAAACGATGGAAGCGATTTACCGGCAATGAGTGCCCTGGAGCGTTTACGTAGGGCATGCTTGCAGGAGGCACGTTCAATAACTTAAGTTGTACACGATCGCGTATGTATGCAACTCGTACGTTTCGTGCATCTCTCTGAAAGAATAAGAGGAAAGAATGTGCCGGGAGCTTGGCGGAAAGCCAATATACTGCAACTTGTTTTATCCTCGTGAGGGAACCTTTTCATAAATGCACCGCTCTGTCTGATAGTTTTTCCAATTCAAAGGAAAGAGAAGAAGGAACTGAAATACGATATTTTTGTTCGGTTCCGAGGCATTGGATTTAACGTCCCGGACAGCACAACGCGGCTGAAAGATGCCTAAAAAATGACGAATCTTCCGAAAACTCATCTTTTGGTAATAGCACATAGCCGACGAAAAGACGTTTTATGTCCTGGATTTTGGCATGTGTTAATCAAGGTTACGATTCGTCAATCAAGCAAGACGATCCATCATGTTTCACTCAAGATAAAAAGATAACAAAATTCAGACATCTTTCCGTCCGTTTATATTCCATGCTTTTTCGTAGACTTCATCAGAGGGTAGTTTCAGGTAAACTCTCCTTTTTCTTATATCATCCTTTTCCAGGGCGATTACCTCTCGATGTGGACCTGGATTGGGGGTATTTGAAGCAGTGGAGGAGAATGGCATCACGACTTAAAAAGTCCAGGAACGGATCGTATATACGAACGAACTGCTATCTGAACCATTTGCGAGAAATCCACGCTGGTGCTTATCGTTCCCGTCGAAACTAATTTACAAGATTGTTTCATTATCGTGAAAATAACAATAAGTTTATGTTAGAGCAATATTTCACCAAATCTTGGAGTACAGGAAATATACCTTGGTTAAACACAATTTTTAATCATATTTGAAAGAACGACGAATATTACTCATCGTGGCCGATATCGACAAAGGGGATGGTGAAGGCTGACGACAAAATGGTTACAAAAAACGTACAAGATTCCTCTGTCGCATTATACTTTCAGAGATAGCATATTTCTTAACTAGCGATTGGCTGACTAACTTAGGAAAAAGCGATTTAAAATAAAGTAATTGGTCACACGATTGATCGGAAGCTATACGATGCTGTTGGCCAAAAGCGGAAAATTTCTGGTCGCCGTGGAAATGGAAAAACATGTAGTGCGCGCGTATTTACGGTAGAAATTCTAAACGTCGATAATTAGCGACGGCCTAACCCGGAAGATTTCTGAGAACCGTAAAACATTCAAAAGGGAGTACAGGGCAATAAATCTGTACGGCGGAAAAGCACTTTTTACAAACAGCAAGCGAGGATCGTCATAAATTATAAAATGGCGAAAAAGGTCCAAGCAGACAATGCATATTTTTCAGAATTTTACTTTCGGGATTTCTAAAGAACTATCCGTCAAAATGGTACTCTGTCGCGCTAACAATGTTTATAAAAAAAGACATGGCAGCTTGGAGGGATTCGCTCGGAGTCGAAGGATTTCCTCGTCGCTGATACAGTGTCTTCGGCAACCGGGTGGAATATTGGGACCAATTGATATTTCCCACAACGGACTTCGAATAGAGATTTCCCCAGGGAGCGAAGGAGTCCAGGATCTTCCGGCTCTATTCCCGGACCTGCCTCGCCGTCTCTCCTGCTTTTCTTGGCCTTAACGAGAAGAGAGGAAAATTTGTGCGACACCCTCGAGTCTTCCACTACCAATTTTCAATACATATCACGAAGAGGAAGAAAAAAAAGAGCACCCTTATTCTCGCAACGTTCTTGACTTTCTACTTTTTTGAAATACCAATAGAACGTGAAAAGTTGTTTTCTGAGAAGAATTGAGTCTCCCAAATAATGAATATGTCGAAACGAGAGGTCTTACCGAATCTACAACTCGCCTGCAGATGTCGGGGAAATTGATAGGGAATTGAATCGAGTTATGAATAGAGCTGCAATTTCCTCGACAAAATATTTATGGCCAGCACGGCAGCTGTTAGAGCTTCCTTTTGCTCGGCACTGAGCTTTTTTTCAAGCAAACATGGAGGTAGACAAATTCCAACAGATGGGAGAATGTGCAAAGTACTCCTCTGTACGACGTGGAAAATTGTTCTGGCCCATATAAGCGACTTTTGGAGATTCTATTTGTTTCTCAAATAAATTATTACGGACATATTTTGAATCGTTGTTGGAAGTCTACTAAAAATACTGGAGAAATAAAAAGTAATCTGTAAGTTACTTTCTTACTATATATAATAAAATAATGGAGTTACCCACCAAACACACTGTTACAGGTACATAACCCTGGAATAACGTGATATGTAACGAACGTTATTCAAAAGATACATTAATATCATATAACGTCGAATTATTACCGTTTGGTAACATCGTTACAAACTTGTAAGCATTGCAGTTATATAATATTAACATAACATATAACATGTTACCGATGTGTTATGTATACGTTACATTATTCGTTTTATAACAGTATTACATAGCTGCGGAGGAAATGGTAATACAAATCTTACTTACATATTATATGTATGTTACATTACATATTATAAACTTTATGTAATGGTTATATTATTGTTACGTAACCGTGTTTGGTGAGTAAAAATTTACACACGAGGCAAATCCAAAAACATGTGGTAGAAATTGAAATAAATTTATTTTGTAAGACATCGTTAGGAGGATACCACATATTAAAGTCATTTATTACCGTCGATTTTTAGATCTTTCCATCATAAACTTACTTACTGGCCGCTTCCTCTCGGTAACATCTGCAGTAGGTTTATCGAATACAGTGTTCTTTACGACAGGATTCTTTTCCTGAACATCCTTAACGACCTAAGAATAAAAATAAATATTAGCACGCTTTGCCCCCTGCGCGTGCGGTAATATACACAAGAACGATCCTTAAATTTACAAGTTATACTTTCAATTATTTGTATGTTAACCCCTTGCAGACGCGTAATTGCAAATAGTCTCGCAAGCACTTTTACCATGAGAAAGTTCCGTTCGCAAAAGGTTAATTATAACATTAATTATAACGTTTTTTTCTAACGAAAAGATTGATAACAGAATTACAATGTTATATGCTGATTCTGTAATAAGTTTGTCTTCATCTTCATCTTCGTCTTCGGCTTCATCTTTATCGCTGAGGGATTCGGTTAGTAATAAATGATCATTGTGATATTGTAAATCGTTTGGAGACCTCTTAAGAATGGATTTTGGTTTATGAAATATCCTGTAGATATCAGCAGGATTTTCTACGACATCATTCGCATTTATATTATCTTTAGGAACATTATCAGAGTGCTTGAAATTGATTCGTATTATATCTTCTTCGTTAGAATCACTGTCACTTCCCTCTGCCTTTTTTTTTGCAACACATACTTCCTGTAGCATGCATTTTTCTTTACCAAATATTTGAACTTTCGCTTCAGTATCGATATCAACTGAAGTGTGGCACAGATCGGCAAAAGAAACTCTTCGTTTTGATTCTATATTTTTTACGTTATCTTTTTCTGAACATACTTGCGTTACAATCTTACTATTTCCAACTGTATTAGAAGCGTCATTTGAAGCGTTTTCTGTTTTAAGATCGTTATTAAGAATTCTGTTCATTCCTTGTGTGTACAACTCATTCGTGTCTTTCAGCTGGCCGTAGGTATTTGCAGAAGGTTCTAATGCACATAGTGTATCGGAGTCATTTATTTCACTTTGTTTGGTATTTGAATGTGCGTTTTGCCCACTTCTGATTGTCTGAATTTCTGTTAATCTTGCTAGTTCTTCTTTCAATGCTTCTTCCGTTACAGAATCCGAATCATCAGAATCGTCATCCGATTCATAGTACACTTCCCCATCTCGCAAATCATTTTTATACAAATTAGACCGTTCTTCCTCTAATCTGTAAGAATTAATTTTTAAGCACAGTTTAAACGTTAAAATTTAATTCTTCTTAAAGACTTGCAGTACCATACTTCAAATGCAAGTAAGGAAATAAAATCAAAAGCAATATTAAATGTATTTTCAATTTGGAACTATCAAAATGCATAGGCACCTATTAATCTCATCTTCTAATTCTTCTTGAAGTTCAAGCTCATCTAGTCTATGAAATAAATCTTCCTCGGTACGAACTTCTGTTTTCTGTTGATGTTTCAGCTGTGACAATTTTTCATGATATTCTTTTTCTCTTTGTCTATGTTGAACTACAATAAAAAGTATAAATTATGTAGAAACAAAGTGTCGAAAAGAACACGATAATAGAAGTAAAGCAAAAGAAACCTCTCCAATCCTTGAGTTTCTTTTCATCCCAGTGTTCCACAACATCCTTCTTATCGTCGCTTTCAAAAGTGTCATCATTGAATAAAAGCAACTGTTTTGTTTCGTACAAGTCCCTTTCTTTTCTGAGATTTTCTAACATCTCATCTGCCCCTACCAGAATAATACTAAAGTTGAATTAAACATTAAAGAATAACCACGACAGGAAGCAAAAATTATTTTCAACGGCTAGTTCTTACGCTCTATTCTCCGTTCACACAATTTAACAGCCTGTGGTGCACTATATTTTGCAAAGTATCCTTCTCCAAGGCATACTAAAATTTCATTGGTATGAACCAATTTTGCTTTCATTAAGGCTCGTTTACCAATAGGCATCATACAATTCATACTAAGCTCTAATGGAAGAACCTTTAACCCTTCTATAACTTTTTTATGTCTAGCTCTATATTGAGCCCATGTTTTAGTCTGCTCCTCATTTCTTCGTAAACCCTAAAATATGAGAATTACAATTTAACTACCAATTCATGTAATTCAGATATTTTTACATAATCACCATTTAATCCTTAACATCTTAATACAGCTATATCATAAAGCATATATACTGCATTTATTTAAATTTTATTTTCAATTTGTCTATAAAATTCATAGTATAGAATGTTCATTTTCAATGTAACCTTATATAGTTCCATCTGTAAACTGCGCTACAATTATATTATCAAAATCATAATTCAGGTTTCACACACAATTGCTTTATTGATAATCCATTACAGAGTTAAAAAGATAAGCGAAACAATTACACATGATTAATTGTTCTCTCCGAAATAAAGTACAAGTAAGCAGAGGTTATGTCGACATAAATATGACTGGATAAAGTCAGTACCTCTACAAGTGCTTGAGATAGAAGATTTGTTCGATAGGAACGGAGTTCTTGCACGTCCATGGTGAAACAATAATTAATTTAACATAATTTTTATAATCTGTGACACACAACCCCACCAAGAATAAGACGCATTGAAATGATACAAGAATAAACTTTAACAGAAATATTACTCCGATCACTACAGTTACGACAAATGCTCTATAAAATTGTTGGTAAATGTCTCGGACTGCAATTTCATACAATACATTACAGAGTTGAGTTGGGAGATTGCTCACGGGCAGGGTCGCGCGATCGCAACGTGTGCTGCCCTCTGATTTCGTACGTTAGCTTTCACCGTTTTTTGCCCCCAAGGGCGGCGCAACGAATTTCTGGTAGGGGCTCGCGCAATCGCGATGGCTGTGCCATCTACCAGTTGCCGTTGGCGGCTCACGTATTCGCGATGGTAATACCATGCGGCAGTTGACGGTGGTGGCTTACCATTATGGCAATCTCCTAACTCATCTCTGCCAAATCAGAGATGAGTTGAGAGATTCACGGGAAGGATCGAGCGACCGCGTCCTGTGCGACCTCCGGTGGAGGCGATTTTTTTCGGAGGAGATACAGGGGTTTGGAGTTTTTGTGAGGAGTTCTTCACTTTTTCAGCCGGTTCTCCGGCTGCCCAGAGTTGTAACAGGTGGCAAGTGCATTAGCCGTCTGCATCCTCCACCGGAGGTCGCACAGGACGCGGTCGCTCGATCCTTCCCGTGAATCTCTCCACTCATCTCTGATTTGGCAGAGATGAGTTGGCCCCTACCAGAAATTCGTTGCGCCGCCCTTGGGGGCAAAAAACGGTGAAAGCTAACGAACAAAACAGATGGCAGCACACGTTGCGATCGCGCGACTCTGCCCGTGAGCAATCTCTGAACTCATCTCTGGCAGTAGTTGATGGAAACGGTACTAACATGACAGATTTATTAATTCGATACGTATAAACCCGATATTTAGGTGCCAGTGGAAACGTTGTAATTGAATATACTGACGGTGAAAACTCAGTGGTTGGGTGAAGTGGCTTATGGGATCTTTCGCTCTATCTAATTCTTTTTGCTAGGCAACCATTACGTATATAAACAAATATGGCTGTAGACGTCAAAATTCAGTGAGACAATCGCCCCCATATTTTGGTCGAAATGTGACTGCAGATATATTTGATTCCACGCATTTTCAGTGGGAATGTACCCGAATGACTTGCCTCTAATTTTATAAGGTATGCTTTTTAATAGGTTATTTGTAATTTTATTATTATGAACCATCACGTCATGTGGTTATCATGGTTAACAATTACTTTTGATCATAAATTTTTCTTCTATGATTTTTAAGTTGTTCATAAATATACAGAGTAATTACATTTTTATGTATTGCTGTTTTTGTTTTCGATTTTGTTTCTGAAGTCATGTATCATATTAGTTGCTGTTATCATTGGGTAGAAAGTTATTACTTAAAGATTGTTTTCAACATCCAAATGTAACAAATTTGTCCCCTGCCCAATAGAACTAACATATGATTGAGATTGCAAAAAATAATCACCTTAACACATTACTTCCTGGAAGAATATTAATATAGATTTTTCGATATCATTGATTCCTAAATTCGTTGGTAAGTAATGTGTTAACAATAAATTCAGATTCATTGAATTTTGAATATGAGAAAGTGTGAACGTATGACTAAAACGTGATTAATTTTTTACTTAATGGTATCGATTGCAGATTGATTCACAATTGTCATGAAATAGTTTCTTTTTCTGGATGAATTAATAACTCCAATATTTTGTTACTTTATTTGAAAATATTCCCATAACTAAACGCCAATTACATTCTAATTTGTTAACTCCTTAAATATAACTTACATACTTTGACAAGAACTTAATGCAGGCATCGTACAAAAAAGTAATCGAAAGAATAATATGCGTGTAAGTATAAAGCCAAAATGGGATGCATCATATTATTTTATTTACTCAATAATAACATTTAATAATACATAATTTAACTGATAAACATATTCTGTTTATTTTTTTTTACACAAGGAAATGCGTTGCTTATTTTAAGATACACTCAATTGTAGTTAATACCTAATCTTATTATTCATTTAAAGTAGGCAACTATTTTCCGTAAAGTTTGAGACGATTCGAAACTTCAACCCTGTGCTTGTAATTCACATCGATAATGCAAATTAACGTTTCTCCTTTCCACTCGAAACCTGAATTTGTTTGAGCTAAATCAAATGCAACGATGGCACGAAAAAGAGAAAAAAGAAATAAGAAATTGAGTACAAATGTGAAAAACATCCACAATTTCAAAACTTTGCTAGTATAATGTTGAAATGTATATATAGATTATTAACATGTCTCAAAAATTGTACATTTAACATCACGATGTAAATTACAATTCACGAATAATATTACACGCGCGTTTCGAACCTCGGGGTGAGTTTGTGAATGCTGGTGCTTTGTTCGTATTCATTCATTCAAATAACATATGTACATGATACCCTCTCAACGCAAAATGTGAACAGATTAAGGCTCCAGCAGGCTATAGGCTACATTCTGTAATGTACAAAGTATTATGTACTTTTGTATAGTTTTCGTTTCCGCGTAAGTGTCTGGCCGTGTAATGCGTGGTAAGCGTAGCACCAAAATATTCCACATGTCTGCTTGGCACAAATCATCCATATATATCTCGCCGCTAAATTGATTTTGTTCTTCCCCATAAGTGAAAACGTTGCTCTACCTCCCTCCGATCAACTTTCATAAGTTACCTCATGGTAGTCGATAGTACTACTAGTGCTCGACAAATGTGTAGATTATTTATTTATAATTTGTATAATGTAAAGTTTGATAAAAATAACGGATCACGTTCGTGATGTCACATCGGAATCGTATAAATGCAAGATGTACAGTGCATCGCAGTGCTCTGGCATGCTTCTGTGTTTCAACGATACGAGAAGCTACCAAATACTTTATACAGATGTTTCGGTCGACGGTGTTCGCGAGTTTCGAAATCAAGGCGCAGTCCGTTGGAAACGTGATCAGTTTTTAACAGGGTTCCAAGGGGCGGACACGATATGGCCACATGCCAGATGTGGCCGTTCACAAAATATAATTTGCCCCGAGTCTCCGTTGTAATAGTAAAGTCATCGGCGAGTTTCGAGCTGTATTGAAACTAGGTCTCAGAGAAACGATTCCTTCAAGGGAACAATCGTTCGTTCCGTTATTCGACAATGTAAAAGTTGTTTCTTTCTTTTCCATCAACATGATTCGTCATTTGCCCAGCTACTTCATGAATATGGCCTGATCCAAGGTGAATCTAGCATGGTACTGACGTACATGCAAGAACTTTTATTTAAAGATTTTATTTCTAGCACTGTTATACATTTGCCCCCACGCACGACACATCTCCAGACTTCACTCGTGCAGCAAAAATGCGCTTTTCATTTAATTAATTCTCTTAATAATATATAAAAAATCTATTTCTATTGACTCTTAAGCTCTTTGCCAATACTGTACGATACAATTTTGTTCCAGTCAATTTTTGTTCGCATAACGGGCAGCTGCCTTCGAAGAGCCTTGAAGGTAGTGTCCGACATCGTCTGATAGTTTTCCGAGATTGCAGTTTGATAGTCATTCTCGGACTCCTCCACAAGTCGGATAATATCCTTGGCGGTTTGCTTTTCGGTGGATATCGGCAAACTTTCCTTTACCTCTTTACTGCTAACCAGTTGGACGTTTCCGTCTTCGTAGTAATGAACTTGTACCTTTAGACTACCCCTTAGCTCCGCGGTGCTGGAACTCGCACTAAAACTTACCGTCCAAACGGAGCGCCAACGCCCATTCCAGAAGTTTTTCGGTTGGAATTGATGGTCCTCTATGCACGCAACCAGGGTGATATTGCCTGCGGAAGCAACGAAATTATTTAATTTTTATAATACGCTAAAGTCTCGATTCAAATAATTCATTTCTTAATTTACTTACCACCTTGACTCTTTCCAAAAACGGAACAAGCCCCGTGTCTGTAATGACTTTGGGTATACGTAGTTATCTCGTCTTGAAGGGCGGATCTCCACGGTTCGGCTGTTGGATCCGGTTCGTACGGCTCGTAGTCTTGCGCCTCCTTTCTAAGGTGGTCGTACTTAAAGCTTTGCTTGCTACGACCATCGTAAAATAGTTGATTTCCTAGGTCGTTATGCTCCGTTATAAGGGCTGGGTATTCGCTTCCCTCTATCTAAAAATAACACGAATAAACGTAACCGTTAGAAATATCGGTTATGTCGTGTGCTGTCCGAACTAATAATACTTGGTACGGAGCACTCAAAGAATCCCAAAACAATAGTTCCTTCTCCACGTTGTAGGAAACAAATTTAGAAGTTATGCCGAGTCACGGAAGTATATCGCTATTTTATATCGAAGACTAAATTGTATGCAAAATTCAATAAACTTCTAAAGGAATTTAGAAGGATGTACGGCAACTACTACTTATATTACGTACTCTTTTTCGTTTCATTTTGTCTATCTTTTTGATGAAATTCAAGACTCGCCTGGGTATACTCGATACAATCTACGCTAAATATAAACCTCTATCCGAATGTGCCTCAAGGGGTAGCAATCGTTCTGCGCGTTTAAACGCAAACTCTGTCCAACCCGGATAACGGATCGTCGTGGAAATACGTGAATCAAGGCGAGAGGTGATTGGATTTAGTGTTAAAGCAAACGTCATCCGCGGTGTCGGGCTCGTCGGCACTTCTGCCTCCGAGTAAGCCCAGAATTCCAGCGAGTCAGATATCGAGGATTTTAGAAAAGGCTGTGGCATCCAGCGTGCGACTTTCGACTCGGTGACCGGGTCGTTTTTAATAAATCTCGACGACGAGATCGCCAGGGTTTCGGTGGCGTGTACCTTAACAGGCGTGAGCTGGTCCTTGTTGTATTGGGCGAATGCCCCCGATGCGCCCTCCTTCAACAAGTTATCGTTGTTCAGCAGGACTCTCACATCGTTGAAGACCTCGTTGAACTCGCCCGGGGGTGAGTGGAGGATAAAATCCGAGACTATTCGGACTTTTTCCTGGTCGGGGATCACGGTATCACCGTCCGCCGCCATCTTACTTTTCCACTACACGCACACTCGGTCGCGAGCGTGTCGCGCCAAAGTTCGTGCATTCCAGGTTGGGCCGAGCTCCTCCTGGCCGACCGCGTCTCACCTCTCCGGTCCGGCAGTCGGCATACCTCGCGCGGTACACCGTCCCTTCCAGTCCCTTCCCGACTCTCGGGCGCGAGACTTTACCGTGCAGGTGCACTCCAGGGTTGCCAACCGACTATTTTATAGCACTTGTCCTGTTACTTTAGTCCCGGGTGCTATGCATCTTTAGAGCGATAATAGTACGCGAGATGTATTATTTCAATAAAAAAGGAAACTGACCGTGGACGACTTTGTTATTATTGATGGATAATTTTCTTTATTTCCTTTGTTTATTTATACATTTTTTGTATTAGAGCTTGTTACGTGTTCAGTTTCCAATTGACTTGTGAAATATTATAAACGAGCGTTATAAATATATTCAATACTATTAATTGTTTAATATGCTGAATTGCATTTCCTCTGCTTTTGGAAACCCAATTTTGGTTTAAATACTGGAATATTTGAACTTCTTACTTTGTACTATTATTTTCTTCATTATACCGGATTGTCCTATTATTTTAATCCGATTGTCCTAGAGTAAACAGAAACGAAGTTGGCAACACTGGGGCACTCGGCCAATGCACCGCAATCGCGACCCGAACTGCTCGTCTCCTCTTCTGGAGATTATCTAGATGAAAGGGCGGTTATCTAGATTGATTTCTGCAGTCCCAATTTAGATGTCACAGAAATGAGTTTCATTAGTCGACTCGTAAAATTGGTAACGCGCAGGAGATATAATTTAAACATTCATTTGTGCGTGCAAACGCATTATAGAGATATATCAGCTATTTGAAGAATGCAACGTTCCTACAACGATTGAAAAAAAAAAAAATTTCTTGAGTTCATAACATTTAATTTGCAATTCTAAGGTACATGGAACAAAAAAAACCAATGGTGGTTCTTGATTCAACCCTCCCCTTCGCTAAAAAACGTACCCCTATACAGAAACGATACACTCCATCAACCATCAAACGTACCACGCAAACCATGCAGTCTTAATCACCAAATTTTTAATATACTCCCCGGAAAATGATAACAAATGATCGTGCAAACGGAGAAAAAAAAATTAATTATCCGGAACCGATCATTATTTTGCTGAGAACATATTAAAAATTTGGCGATTAAGTCCTCCCGGTTTAAATTTGACAAGACCTTAACTGCGACGTGAGGGCGTATGCTGGTGCGGTTATGGGGGATGAACGGGCGGTTCCGGATAATTAATTTTTTTCTCCGTTTGCACGATCGTTTGTTATTATTTTCCGAAGAACAAATTAAAAATTTGGCGATTAAGTCCTCCCGGTTTTTGTTTTACAGGACATTACCTGTGACGTGAAGGTCTACACCGCCACGGTTATGGAGGATGAACGGTCGGTTCCGGATAATGAATTTTTTTCTCCGTTTGCACGATCATTTGTTATCATTTTCCGGGGAGTATATTAAAAATTTGGTGATTAAGACTGCATGGTTTGTGTGGTACGTTTGATGGTCGGTGGAGTGTATCGTTTCTGTATAGGGGTACGTTTTTTAGCGAAGGGGGGGTTGAATCAAGAACCACCATTGGTTTTTTTTTGTTTCATGTACCTTAGAATTGCAAATTAAATGTTGTGAACTCAAGAAATTTTATTTTTTTTTTCAATCGTTGCAGGAACGTTGCATTCTTCAAGTAGCTAGATATATCTTATATCTTGCCGCAATTCTGCCCACGCAGTACAGGATACGCGATAGGAGTATCGAATCGAGGGCAGACTATGTCCTGGCGTTATAAAAAGACGCTTTTCATGTAAATTTGCAGAAAAAAAAAAACAGGACAAAGTATAGGGTACCCTGAGAAACATCTAATTAAAATAACTATTTTTATTTAACTAGTTTTCGTAGTTTAAAAAGGACTCGGATACTTTTTATAATAAAATTAACTTTTTCTTCTGAACTAGATCTAGTAACGGTTACTATACTTTTTACTTTTTGGAAGTAGTAAAATTAACTAGTCTACGTTTACTGTACCGTTCTAGGAGGAATTTTTAGTATTTATGTTGTAGAATTTTATTTCATTATTATTAATGAAACTGACCCAGATAGGATTTTTGACCGTTGTGAATAGTTCGGTTAATCGTTAAATGTATTTCCAAAAACAATTTTTTGTAATTATGGACGCTTATTGAACTTATGTTTGACTTTCGGTAATATCGCATGTTTTAGAGTAATGTCTTATATACAAACAAGCTATTTGTACCATTTTCGAGAAAGCTTCGCCATCTATGAATGCTGTTGAAATTTACTTTAACAAAGTCTTCGATAACGTTTAATACAAATTGGAAATTCATACAACCAAACCGCAATGGTGAGCGTTTGTACCAGTAATTTTGTTGTAGTTACTGAAAGTAGCATAAACAACAATATCTTGCGATGAGAGTTAATAATATTTCAGGGAAACGTTACTATTTCAAAATAATGAAAAACTTTACTACAAATATCGTTATCGTTCCTACAAAATACGTACAAAAGCCAGTCCTACGTTCACCTATTAAGAAATAGTTGCAGCTACTAATTTTTAGTAAATAAAACGATAAATTGCATTCCCCTAACAAAAATAGGTTTAAACGGGTCAAATTATTCAGTTTACCAGCACTTTTTCTCTCAGTACACTTACGTCGGGAATGAATTCGACAAAACTGTAGTTAACTGCGTCAATCTATTAGCTATGGGATTATTGACCGGTTTTAATAATGAGCGACTAATATTCGGTTGTCCTTATAACTAGTTAATTCCCTTTAATGCTTATTACCAGTTTCTTAAACGATCGACGAAGGAACACGCAAGGGCATTAATGGTACCAAATAACGTGGTGCCGGGATTGTATTTCGGTATTCAGATGAAATGAAGAAACTCGGTAGAGTTCCGCGCCAAATACGTAAATACAAGCGCTTAACTCTTTGAGGCACGGTGGTATTAAAAGTGTCCCACCTTTTAATGCGGTGGGGTATAAATTCCGTGCCTCAAAGGGTTAAAGAGTGTTATAAGCGCGATAGGTGCAAAATTATAAAGCGTGGTCAACACTTTCCAATTGATTGCACAAGCAGTTGTCGATTGAGTAAACTTGTAAAATTGATTCGTCATTTGCTTCGATTCGCATGAAATTGTGTAACGGGAGCATTAGATTGTCGAAAATGGGAAATTCCGTAGGAAGCTTCAAAGGCTATTGTAAAGCTATTTCAAACCGAGTCAATGATTTTTAAATAAACTATTTAATTTATTGTTAGGGCTCGAAGAAATGGCGGACGATCCCAACAGAGATATTTTGCCCGTCAAAGAAGGATCCTGCGTCGACACTTGTTGCAGCAATATAGGTATTCGTCCTAACTGTGGTATTTTATCATTACGATTTATTATATCTTTGACGACACCAGGTATTAATTATACGATATTCCATTGAAATTAAATATCCTAATGGAAGATCCTAAGGAGCGCCATTTTGTCTGCAAACTCGATCGGTACCAGCTGGAGGACAAATACTTGCGCTTGCTGGACGAGGTGCAAAGCTTGAAGAAATTGTCCAACAGTCAAGAGGACAAGATTAAGCGACTCGCGACAAAACTTATGCGAATCTCCGTTAATCCGAGATCGTGCGTCTTTTCGTTAGACGCTTCCGAAGGAAAAGACAAGATGGCAGCATTAGAAGTGGAGAACGGCAAAGTATTGATTGACATTTTTCAAATGCTTGAGATGATATGAAAGCCGCTGAAATATTTAATCGACGTCGATAAAATAAAATTCATCCGTACCCTTTTCGGCGGTAACGCCACTTTGGATACTCCAGTGATAACATGAGCTTGCGCGGCATGTTATCGACATTTATATTTATGTCGACGTCCGTTACCTTCTGCATTGAGAATTATACGAAATTGAATACTCCACGCGTCACTTCGCTGAATTGATTATAAAGAGATCGAAGTAAAACGCACAAATCTGTTGGATCCATGACTTTTGATACTCTAATCGATCAACAGTGCTATCTGTCACGATTATTGGCAACTAAATTTTTGCTTCGAGGATACTTATAGAGCACGTGTTGTTCACAGGATATTCGAGACTTACCCTATACACATTTATAAAACTTTTCTCAATATTTCCCACATAAATCCAATGTTCGATTATACTATAGTATTCTGAATTGCTATGCCCTGGTCGTGAAAGCCTTCGTTTTAGTTTCTAATCTTTCAAAAGACGTAAAATAAAAAAATATGTGTTTTTGGTTCTAGTCTGGGATGAATGAAAAAAAATGTATAAACGTCACGTTTTTCCGCAGGATCTTTATGTTCACGTGTTAACATTTCAAATGATTCGGTGCACCTAATTCAGAGAAAAGTTGAAACATTTTGACGCTTCAACAGCCACTTTTATATCACCTCAATGTACTAAATAGTAAGATTTCTTATGCAATTTCTTTTTAGTTGAAGGACAAGATTTGCGTTTTGCGAAATCAGGTATTGAATCACAGGGTTCTCGGAAGATCAGCCTCCGCAGGTCGGAGAACTCAAAGTGGAATTTTCTCTGGGCCCGCGTGAGTGATTTTTCAGATTATGTTATTGCTATATAATTTCCATAACTACGACTTATCGTGCTAAAGATGTTATACTGGCTTAACGAATTGGCAGAAGTATGACGTTCGATTACTTTTTGTAATTGCAGAACATGTCGAAGCGAGAATGGAAGAATGAAAACCCCGTCATGTCAGTGCGTTTTGCAAAACGAAAACGACGAAAATGATACTCGGAATAACCCTGCAAAGATAGAAGTAATTATCATTAACGTTAAAAATCAATTCTTTTTAACGAGTATTGAATGTATATTTCCAACTCTAGGAACTAGAATCGGAAAGGAATGAATTGAAGTCCAGGATAGAAGAATTGGAGGCTGATTTGGCGAGCAAAGTTGTCGGAAGTCAGCGAGAAAAAGTGACCGAAAACGTCGAATACATCAGGACGTGGCGACAAATGAAGCAACACAATGATAAATTGATAGCAACACAGAGTCAGAACGAATCACTTACCGCGCAAATTAATGACTTGAAGAAAGCCTTGGAAGAGACCCTGAAGTAGGTCGATATTCGACGGGAACAAGATTCGTTGCAAAATTTATCGGTGTAACATATGTATTTTGCAGAAACAATCGAGAAGTTACAGCGGCTTTGGTAATTGAAAAGAAACGCATAGTAGATATGGACGAGCAAGTGTCGAAGATGAAGGACTCTCAAATGTTGTTGCGCGAAAAGGACGAGAGAATTCGTGATCTATTGAACGAGATGAAGATTCTTCAGCAGCACAATAATGAACTAATTGCGCTAAGCTCTGAGTACAGTCACGTGGAGATTGAAAATGCTGAACTGAAAAAGAAGATCTCTGAACAATTGTCGGATCAGCAGGGTCTGAAGAGCGCTTTCAGCAACGAACAAGCCAACATAGTAGCTCTGCAAGCTGCCAATGAACAGTTGATGGGGAAACTGCAAGAGCTGCAACGTAATATGGATACTTTGACGGTGCAATTAAGGGTAGGGTGACCCTCTTTTTAATTTCAAAAAACTCATAATACCGTACTAACCTAGACAGCACACCTACCGTAAAGATGATGAAATGCTGTCTTTCTCAAGTCGCGTTTTCGACACGACGAAGAGATATATAAAAGATGTCGAACGTTAAATTTTGCTAAATATAGTAGACTAAACGATGTTTTAGTACGGATGCCTAATAGAGTACATGAAAAGCTGTCTATAAGATGTCAGAGAATAAGTGGAAGGTGGCAGCATCGGTACCCTTTCGTTTAGATGTAGTATGTACGAATATAATTTAAAACTTAAAGCTTTACTTTTTTATAGAAAGATAAACTGAATTTTCGATACGGAAGAATTACTATCATCTTCTATTTTATTTTGTTCAATAATTAAAATTCACAATGATGAAATAACTTTGCCAATTAGTTTCGACGGGACCGTTAGATGGTACTGGCGTGGCTTTTTTGCAATTGGTCCAGATAGCAGTTCGTTCGTATACAAGTCCCGTTAATTTTCTTTGCGTTTATGTTGTGATGCCATTCCCTTTCATTTTGACATCTTTTAGTCATCGCTGTGTTGTCTGGGAAGAGTTTCAGTAGCTTAGTCATGCTATCTTCTAGTAAGCCTAAATTGCATTATTTTTATTTTCGATTGTTTTCATCCTATTTTACCGCTAAAATCGATGAAAACAATATAACATAGGTTATTGTTGGATTCGTCTCGACGAAAGGGATAACTTTTATGAGGGTAAAAATTACCCTTGTCATGTAAAAAAATGGACTCAGGGCTTAGAGAATGAAAACAGTAAACCGTGATGGCCGAAATTCCTCCAGTACTGAATGTCCCCCTTTGAACCCTACTACCTTTACTGACATTTCCCTATCAACCCTCTCCTCTAGGCGTTATTCGGCCGTACTTAAAATAGGACACCCTGTATAAAAGTGTTCAGATAAATAATTAAAAAAATCTTTAGACTTTTCAGAGTAAGGGCGGCGAATCTGACAAAACAACTACTGGAGTTCAAGCGAGCGTCGCATATTGTGATAAGGAAACCGCCACATCTATTGTTGAACAAGTATCTCTTGAGATCTCTAAAGATGTTGACGATACATTAAAAGACACTCATTGTCAAAAATGTTGTGGAAACTCTCCAGAGAAAGTGGTCGCCATTCAACAATCTTTTAGTTCTCAAGGAACTCCATTTTTTGTGGAAAAGGCTGTGCAAACCGAAGGAATGTCGCCAATGACTTTAATCACCCCTACCTTTGAGAAAGGCTCTTTGAAGTCTAAAGTTACCGAGAAATCATCTGCAGTACACCAACCGGAAGTACAAAAAGATGAGGATCAAACGCGCATTGTGGAGAATACGTTATCAAAGGAGAAGATGTTGAAGTTGCTGGAACAAACTCAAATTAATACTCCGTTTGAAACTCAGAGTCCTATAAGGATAAACAATTTCGACAATCGAATCGACCTCTCTGGAAATCCAGATTTTAACAGGAGAGAAAGGCAAGTGGTCACCCTCGAAATGTTGCTCTTCGGCGAATCTAATAGTTTCTGACGAGGACTTATGATGGACGTTTTTAAAATGGCTGTTAGTGTAAAGTATAGCAAGGGTAGCCATGAAGAACTTTCGAAATTTCAAGAAATTTCATGGGTTTAGATAAGCAGACTGCTTAAGTACAGGGATTTGCATTTAGAATTATTCCGAATAGAGAGGACTAGGAGGATGATTTTACGCTTCATACATGAATCGGTATAAATTAGGACTGATTGTGAGTTGCCGGAAGGATGTCGTATTAAGTTATTCTTCCAATTTTAAGGTGAAGTGAAACCCCCCCTCAAATCCGTCGATTCGAACAAGACACTTTTTTTTAAGGGTATTGGGTAGAATTCTTTGAAAATTTGACACATGACTCGTGAGGGCCTAGGAATTATCTTGACACTTTCAAAATTTGGATTTATGAAGAAATTTTTTAACTTAGGCCAGACCAGAACCAGATTGGCGTCGAGCTCATATTTCGATCGATATCCAATTATAGAAGGCTTTAATATGAGAAACGAAGACTTCAGGACAATTGTACGACAATTTAGAACACTATAGTAATCAATAAACTCGTACTTGAACGGGATAAAGGCAAAGAAATGTCTTATGCGCTTTTGTGCTAAAACGATGGTAATATGAGATTTCGGAGTGAAAATTTTGTTCACACGGAAATCATAGATGGCGCAGGGGGTCCCTCTGTAGTCAATTAGAGCCTCGCAAATCATTATTCCAGAGGATTTCTGGAGTTTTACTTTGATTTCTTTATAATTATTGTACGAATACGACAGGAGTATCTTTTAGTACAATACTCAATATAATTTGACACAGTTATAAAAAAGCAAAACGAACGTCGGCAACGTAAGTATTTAGAAATACTTTTTTACCGACGTCGATCAAGTTCCTCGACATGTTTCACGTTTCACTTCACCTTAAATTCAACTGAAAAAATTGCTCCATAATACACAATATTTTCTTCGTAATTTTTTACGATGTATTAATTCGTACCAGGTACGGGAATGGAGAATGGAACACTGTAGAAATTTAAATACAAGTGAAAAATCGACGTTGGCAGAGATGTAACTACTTATCGCTATTGCAATGTACAAATCTCTGATCGTAGAGCTTCCGTATTCTTAGATCGAGTTAATTATTATTGCGCTGATCAACATAATTCACCTTTAGAATTCAAGACTTATTACCTCGATCGACTGACTTACATCGTCGTTCATAGAGTAACGAAATCCACTGATAGGAGAAATAGGAAGATGAATTGTTTAATATCGTTGCGTCACAATTTGATATATGTATCTTGAATTCATTATTATGGACATTAACGATCATACGTTTACGATAGTTGTATTTAGATAATTAATTTAAGCTAATTATTCCGTACTATTTAACGTTTCTTTGTAACAGTTTCCCCATTGCAGTGTTTTGTATTGCATTTATTTTTAGTACTAATAAGTAAAGTAATTCTGCAGAATTCTCTAGTCTCTTAATTATACCTATTGAGACATTGATTTGAAGTTTGTATTTTAGCAAGTTTCAGGAAGAGTTTAGATGATCTAAATTTGTGAGCATAAATACTGTATGCTGATCGATTTGCTTTACAGCAGGATGTACGATGACCGGTTTACAAATGTAGACGTAAAAGATACTAAAGAACAACGAAGTGACAATGGTATATCTCATGATTCCGCTTCAAGGGGTACAAGTATGAAGCAAGTATTGTTATGAGGTATTCACGAATTCGCATTCGAGTAACTCTGTCTGTAAGTAGGAATAATGGATAAAATTATATTTCGATAGAAATTATGAAGCTCTCGTTGGATCCAGGGGACCGGAAAGAATAGAGAATTCAGAAGATGGTGTAAATAATGAAATTAATATCAGCCCTCAAAATAATGAATGGCTTCCGGAAGTCATCGATGCTTCAATATTTTCAATGTTTTATGATATTCTTTACAAGTACAGGAACACAAACCGCAATTTACAAACTAACAAGCCTAATTACCGGTCTCAAAATCATGCTATTAGCATTGGCACGAATACCACCTTACCGTTAAATAGTTCCAAAGAATTGCAAGTTGCATTTCCCGAAAAAACGATTACCGATGTGCACGATAGCGAAATTATCGCTAAATGGGATGATTCTTCCAATCCAAGGACTTCCATAACACGTACGCACTTTTCATGAAATGAAATCTTGTTGAATATTTTTTACCAAAATATTCAAGATTCAATTAAATGTATTCAATATTATACGAGGTGTTTATATTTGTGCAGCTAAATTAGAGGAGTTGGTAGGGGAAACGATGAAACACCAATTGATAAAAATTGATCAAGTACCGAGTAATTCGAAAACGTACGAAGAAAATAATAACCAAACTGCAAGTCTTGATTGTGGGTGTTGCAAATTTTGTACAGCCGAAAGTGTTATACCTTTGGATGGAAGACAAGAAATTTATCGTGGAGTACGTTTGCAACCAAAGGTTAATAAAATACGTGATATCCACCCGAATATTCCGCAATCTTATAGTGGAACGTGTACACAGTAAGTATTAATAATTGAATACGATCGACGTAATTAATGTTTAGCATATAAGGCGTTCCCCCAATTAAACATAACTTTAGTTATAATTTCTTTTACATTACTTTCGGTACACTCGTCATACAGCTGATTACATTATATTCTTAATTTTTAGTCATCATCACATGTTTATAATATTATTACAGAGTTGTACATATGTACAATGTTCCCGTACATATTTTACTGTTAGTCATTATACAAGTTACATTCACTTATCTATTTTTTTTTGTTTTCAGTAGAGGAACTTGTAGTAGTTTTCAGAACTCGCAGCTTGAGGAAGAGTCAAGAGCGATGCAAAAAGCGCTAAATTTCCGGTACAGATCAAGAAGCTTTTCCGTTGCTGGTAGAAAGTTAAATATTGATCAAATTCAAGATACCGAGGAGGACTTGCCTTATACTTTAAAGAACTTACAAGCTAATGATGTAAATTCTGTATAATTCTTGCTATCTGTAAAAATAAGGTACTTAAAAGTTACTCGCGTTATGTCTAACGACACACATTGAAACAGGATATTCTGGAAGGTCCACAAGATGCCTCAATTTGCAATTTAACTTATCCAAAGAATTGCGAGAATTCCGGAACGTACAAGATTGGTTCCTTTCCGGTACTTATCGCTGATGGCCAAGGTCTTTTGGAGATTCATATCGTGCGGCTACAATTTTCGACGATTGTCAGTAAATTCATTTTCTTTCTTTAAGGTGTAATACCACTGTGAACGTCGAAAAAATTACACATTTTTGAGGAAATAGTACGAGTTAAAATTAAAATTTTACCATGCTTGAGGTACGGACGGTAGCCATGTGTTTGCTGAATATAATGTTAAAATTTGAACCCAATCGGTTCAGTCGTTTTTGAGAAATCCTGAGCGCCAGATACAAACACTTTGTTTTTTACTCCTCTAATTTTGTAATAATAAATAAATACGTGTTTTTTACTAAAAAGAAAAATTGTTCTGTGTTCTCCTACATTTGATTATTTATGGAAAAAAAGTTTGTGCCATTATATGCAGTACGTTTTGAGACAAAAATTGTCGAAAATGTGTAATTTTTTCGACGTTCATAGTGGTATAGCCCCTTAGAATTGTACACGCATTGTTTCACAAATTGTGCCTATATTTTCTCGCACAGGCTCTGCAAATCTTCACCAATATCCACGACATATCTTTTTTCGTGAGTTGGAACATTTGGGGCCAGGAAACAGCATTTACCCCAATTCTGCAGTACCCCAAACTGAACTTCAACTCCTCTTGCGTGTATCGAGTGTTGGAATTGTTCACTTTTTTCGAGAGCTCACTCCACGAAGACGTCACCTTCCGCATACACGCTGTTCATAAAGATGAAAGCAGTTACGTAGTAGGCCAAGCAAAGCTGTGCGTAAAGCAAATTTTGGACCACCCACAGAACAAGTTGCATTACGTGGCACCTGTAACTAATGTCTTTTCTTGCTCACGGAATGTAAATTTTGGTCAGTTATCTTTGTGGGTCAGACTAAGTTGCGACGTCTCTTTGGTGGAGTCTTTCAAGGAACGCAAAGGAGTTGCGAAAATAGCCTCAAAACACTCCAAAGGTGTTGTCAAAACACAAATTTTGACACCTCAAGAGACAGGTAGTTTAATTTACAGAGAAATTGCTCATCGTGTCCGAAAAGTGTATCGCAGAAAGTGCAAGCATTGAATTCAAATTGATAAGGAAAAAGTTAAAATCGATATCACTGATTGCAGTGAGCGTGCTTTTTGAAATAATTTTATTGATTTGTATTTTGATGTGCAAGTTTAAAAAGCAACGATCTTCTCGTTAAATTAATAAGAAATTAATTCGTAGTGCCGAAAGAATCAGCACATAAAGATGATATCGGGATTATAGAATCTTTATCGCAGACATCAATGGCGAACAATGATTTTAATTATAAAATAACGAATGGAAGGAACAAAACAGCCCAGTCAGTTGTTAATGTCTTCGATGAAAGATCCCCAGATTATGCGATGAAAATTGTGGGGAAGTCGTCAATAATTGAGAACGTAAACAATGATGAAGAGATGTGGCAAGATATGCTACCACGAAAAATAAATGAAGCGTGAGTTTCGAGGTATTGCATCGATGATGATAATTAACAAATCAGATATTTTCCTATGATACTGATTATCCTAAGGGGTTATGAAAAAAATTCTTGAATTTCGCCTATGACATTTTTTAATCGAAAACAGAGCGTGATTTCATATTAGAATTATTGAACTTAATATATAATTCTTTTTGTCAAGATATATTATAAAATTGGAAAGGTACAGCAATTCTCCGAGAAATTTTCTTTTGCGGTGACCACGATATCTCAAAAAGTATTTCACCGATATGCTTCAAATTTTTAAAGCTCATTCTACACACGGAGGACTGCTGAATGAGCGAAGAATTTTTCAAAATTCCTATTTTTAATGAGTAATGAGCCCTAAAAATTAGAAGCCGATCGGTGAAATACTTTTTGAGACATCGTGGTCACCGCAAAAAAACTTTTTCAGAGAATTGCTGTACCTCGCCAATTTTTAAATATATCTTCACAAAAAAAATTATATATTAAGTTCAATAATAATGGATGAAATCACGCTCCGTTTGGATTAAAAAATGCATTTTAGTTATTAAAAACAGTTCTTGAATTTCGCCTATGACAACTGCATATAACCCCTTAACAATTAAAGCAATTAAATATTTTAATTACTATCGTTCTGCTGCTACTTATCACTCGTCATAATTATAGGATTTCAGGAGAGATCAAGCTAACGGAAAATAACGACGTTAACGAAGAAATTGAAACGGCAAGTATTGTATTCGGTTAAATGAAATTCTCCGTAAAGTTAGAAATGACAATTCATATATTTCTATTAGACTTAACTAAAAAGAAAATTATGTACTTTGTTACAGTTTATCGAGGAAGACACGGTAGTCATCGAAATAAAGAACTTGACTTTGTCGCCCAGAGCTACTGTTGTAAATGATCCCGAAATTCACATGCTTTACGTTGATTATTTGTTCTTGGGATATGCAGGTGCTGAATTGGAAACCGCTTCTGTATTAATTCCTAAATCAGAAATTGACGTCATGACGTACGACTATAGAAAAGGTATTCTGGTAACCGTGATACCGACAAGTAACATTTAGTTATCATACTTTACTTTTTTAAGAGTTTAAAATCGACCGTGATATGCACATTGCCCAAAGGAACAAGTTACGCTTCATGTTGAGTGAAAATGGAAATCCAAATATAAGATTTGTTATAGTCAGCGAACCACTTCTGGACGAAAGTCAAGTGAAAGAATGCATAGAAATCGGGTGAGTACCTTTTACGTAAATAATTTATATCTACGTTAAACAAAAATAAACTCTAGCAACGCATCAATAAAACTGCATTCGATATTTTATTATTCAATAATTACTATGATACATAAATTGTTCGATAAAGCATTTGACATTGATAGAATAACATCAAAGAGTACCCACGTAGCTGCGAAGACCCGAAGGATTTGGAATAAAAGGAATTATAAAAAATTATTCAAAGTGTTTATAAAATGGTTAAATGCAGATTATTCGTTTCGTTAATGGGCAATAATCGATGCCTTCTTCCAGATACGCTATCTTAGATCTGAAGAAATATCTCCTTAGGGTAGAGGATGGCAAAGAAGTGAGCTTGAACGTTTTGAAATCCGACGATTCTACTCTGATTGGGATTCTGCGAGTAAGTTCAAACGAGACATATTGAGTTTTTCAGCAGAAGGAATTAATGGCCATCGATATTGTAGGTGTCCGTATCAGGTATCCGCCGATGCATGTCCGAGAGTTGAGTCCAAGCCGAATATTCTGCAATGTCAGGCGAAACAAGAGCTCCTCCTTGTTGTTAACCAGCCAAGACATCTTTCTATTTTACGTATTTACATGTATTTTCTAAATGGGATCTGCCGGCAGTAAATCCGTACGCGGTGATGTGTTCACGATTTCGTAAGGCGACATTTATTAAGAGACTATGTGTGAAATGGCAAGTGTTAATGCCATGTTGCGACAGTAGGCGGCGTTCCTACAGCATGCTAGGGCCATGAACTAGACTGTATCGTGATCTGGCCAGCTAGATAATATCAAATATGAAATGGAAAGATCCTTATAGCGAGGTCGCATTATCATTGTAGACCACGTTCAAGCTCCAGGTGGATCCAACATCCTCTGGCTGAGGGTTCGCTGTTTGAACAGGAGTCCTGCCTTGCATGGGTACAACTCCAAACTCCAGGCAAAACGTTCGAAGATGATCGCAACGTGTCATTCGGATCCGCATGGTCATTTTCCACCATTGAAAAATGATCGAGCATTGACGAGCGAAACGACTGGTCGCGCCACCTCTGTGAAAATCTCCGAGTGATCACGCCGCTAGAGTAACCTGCTTTCGCTGTCGGGCTTCGAGGTCAGAGTATCCGATGCTATCGGTGCCACCGTTGCTAGGGTGTGATTACACTTGGGGGTGTTGGACAGCCCCATTTGCCGCTCTTTGATGGCAGTGAGTAGTCTGGTGCGCCGGAACATGTCGTTGTAGAAACTGGTCGCCATTCGGAAGTCGCGACAGTCTCGGGGCTCTCGGGAGAACGACCAAGTACCCTCTATCGTGTCGACACCTTGGCACACTCGGCAGGCACCTGTGATCGATAGAAGCAATCGTTGGAAATGCGATTGGTATCATCTCGATCTATTTCTGAGCTCTCGGATGACTGCCAAACGATTGACCTTTATAGATTTTCGGTAATGCTAGACGAGCTTGTGCATTGTGTCGCTTCCTAATGCTCGTTGTTATTGAGATCATGAAATTGGATAACACGTAGGGTTTATTTATATAAAACGAATGCGTTGTCTTACCAACAAAGACCGCGATGGTCTTAGTCCGATTGTCGGTAGCAGTTAGGGTGAATGGCCCACCGCGTTTGAAGGGAGCATAACCGCTGATGTTCCATGTTGTATTCAGTAGACCAGGCGAGGTGATGTGGGTTAATTGAGGTGTCAGCTTGGCCATGGAAACCGCTACGCTGCGATTGGTAACTTTGATGTCAATGCGAACTCCCGCTTGAGTAGTCACCCAGGATCCGGTCAGTCTACAAGGCAGACCTAACGAAAATCTAAGTTATTAACCGGTATCTCTTCTAGTCATGCTGAGAGTGATCGAATAGCATGAAGGATGTCTTTCATTTCTGTCTTAGGAAATTGATGCCAAAATATACTCGCCTTCCTTCTGCTCCGTTTTCGTCCGGTCAATCTTCAGCTCCTCCAGTTCATCGATAACCTTGTTCAAGATCTCGCTAGCTACGGCCTTGGTTTCGTTAACCATGGCCGAGAAATTGGCAGGCGTTGGATGTGACTGAGCAACAGCTTCCGCAATCGTGGTCATGGGAAGCAAATGGTACTCGTTGACTTTAACCCGACCCTTTTCCTCTTGCTTCTTTATCTCGCCGGGTTCAGGGGGCACCGAGGAGGCTTCGCCAACTCCCTTCATCTTCGGGTTTTGTTCGGTGGTCGGACACGCGGTACCATTCGCCACACTCTGTCCACCCACGTCCTGCTTCTGGCTATCTGGTTTCTCGTCGGCAGCTGGTCTCTCCATTTGCAGAATGGGTTGAGGTGCCAGAGCCTGTAAACTACCTAGTCCCCGACTATTGGTCCAGTTGTCCTTGGCCCTTTTCTCCGACAGGTCCAGCACCCCAAAGTTCGGTACGTGCTTGACGGGTCCTGGTGAGGGAGACGGTGGTGTGTTTCCGGTTCGAGTATTGGTGCCCACTGTGGGAGTAGGTGCAGGAGTCGGCGCAGGACTCGAAGAAGTAGTAGCTAGCTGGCTTTGGGAGACGGAGCTTGGTTGCTGAGCCGTTTGAGTAGTAGTTGCTCGCAACGTGGTATTTAAGGTGGGATTGATAGTGAACCTTAGCGATTCTAGGATCTTTCCGAACGGGTGCTGGATGTTATCCATATTGGCCACCTTGGCGTTCCCCATGGTGCTTGGACTCTCCAGCCAACTACCACCCTTCTCGTTCTCGGCGCTAACCCATGAACCGGACAGCTCACCGTATTTCGACGACGAATGTTCTGGACTCTTTAGGTCCGCGAATCTGTACGGGTCTGCATACATCTGCTGAGGATTCAATCTCGTAAATTGATGCTGTGGAAGGAGGAGTCCTGCTGCAACGTGTCTATGAGCCCCAGTATCCATCAATGGTCTTACTAAAGATTGAGGATTTCCACTTTCCATGTTGGCGAGGGATCCCGAAGGCGCTGCTGTTGCTGGGTTCCCAAGGTATGGTACTTGATCCGGAAGCTGGTCCATCGAGCCAGACTCCTGAATACTGTCTTGAGGATTGTTTGCATATGAGTACAAGTGACCTAGGTTGTCGTTCTTTTCTAGAGAGCTGAACTTGGACCCATATCCGCTGTCGTCCCCCAGCTCTGAATATCCAACAGAGTTCTGACTGGGCAAGCCACCCTGTAACGCTGCACGATAATTCGGTACTTGTGGCTGTATTCTTATAACTCCTTCTTCTGGTTTCAGCTCTCGGTTGTACTTGTCTAAACTTTCTTCAGGGTATGAGGAGGCGGCTTGACTGAACTTGTTCCGAGGGTCTTGGTACGACGAAATGGAGTTGGACACATTCGACAGGGTTTGCCTGACAAACCTGACCCGCGATCCTCTCGCTGGATCCATCAGTTTCGAGTGGATTTTCCTATCTGGAGGATTGTTGAAGATCTCATTATCGCTATAATATTCGGAGTATTCAACGCCCTGGTCGCCTGTGCTTTTCCCGGCTGGGTCCTTTGTCGTCGTTCTCATTAGACGAGCCAACATGCTCTCGCGTTCCTGGATTTTACGGGAGTTTTTCTTCTTTCTCTTAGATACGATCGACTTGGAATCGGTCGATTCGAATCCCGAATCCTGATTTGAATCCAGGAGGTAGTCGTTGGGTTGTCGAAAGTTGTCCTCGAGGCCTCTCTTCCGATTGACACTTGGCATTGGGGTCCCGTAGCCCTGCAAGGGAATTGCCTCGGGAATTTCACTTCCAGATACTAACAATGAGTCCTGAAATCCTTCATTCGAGACTTTGCCCTCTTCTCGCCCCTCGGAGGATTCCCTCTGCGTGTAAGTTCATTACGGGTAATGCTAAATTGGCATCTTATTAATTCGAAATTAATAATAATACACAATTTTACAGTTTCAAATGTATTAGTCGCAAAAATATATCGAAAGTATCTGTCGGAAGTTCCAGTAAATACTTGATTTGATCCAGTAAAATGCTTCGGAAGTTCTCGCGGAACTGCTTTTACTTCTTTGTCTCTTTTAATATTTGATAAGCAGTTAAAAGAAACTCAATCTGACAAGTTCAGCTCCGATAAAGTTAAATGTAAGAAAGAACGAACTATTTTGTCTATTTTACCTACTCGAAGAGCCGGAAGCGTACCTACCTTAGCCGCGAATTTCTTGGACCACGGAAGAGAGTTCTCGTCTCTTTTAGTCCTGTCCTTGGGCCTCTTCCGCTTTCGCCTGTTGGGTCCTTTGTTCCTAGAGGTCCCGTGATTAATGGCACGAGAAGATGGTACCGCGACGCCAACGCCTTTCGCTGGTAAACGAAGGCCACCGGGGACACTTCTGCGTGGTGGCTTAACCTCCGTAAGTCGCTTAAAAGTGTCCTGAATTTTCGGGGACTTGAGGGCCTCCTTCGCTAATTTTTGAGCCAAGACCTGAGTCGCGGATAGCTTGGGATTGGCGAGAATCGCCTTGACAAAGGTGGTCCTACCATGGCGCGTCTTAAACACGCGTCGCTTGTTCCTGGCTCCTGGTTCCTGAAATCCTGGGGCTAGGTTAGACGAGGAACCCTCGAATGGGATTGGGCATTCTTCCTTTGGAAAGGATAACGCCGGTTGGTCCATTATCGGAAACGGATCTGCGACCTCGACGTCCATCGAATCTTCTCCTCTGGCTTCCGTGCGAACTACGCTGATTAGTAGCGGGACGATTATATTGAATCTGGAAAACGGAAGCAAAGGATGCCCGTAGTAATGCTTTTCAACTCCTAAAAAATAATTTCTAGGAATACATCCATTCAAAGGAAATGATCGGGTTGACTTGTACGTTCCCCTAAAATTAAATGAAATCGGAACTTTCAACATTATTCGCGAAAGGATATTCTCCAAATGAATAAATTTGTTTACGATGCTGGCACTATCCTGAGATTAGAGTTGAGCTCTTTTTATGACTGTCATTAAGACGTCTGTTTGTCACATGTCACTGTTAAGAATTTAATGCCACGTTTGAATGCCAAAGAAATTGGATCCGAGGGCGGAGGAGGAAACCCGGAAGTCCGAGGACCTACCTGAGCGAACTTAGCTGCATTCCTCTAGGAGGTGGAATGACCTTCGAATCGGTCGCGAGGCCATGAGTCTTCGTGTGTAACACGGAAGAGCAGCGCGACTCCGAATCCTCAGAAGTTGAGCCCCGAAGACACCCCCTCGAGCTGGTTCGCCACCCTCTACAGCGCTCTCCGACTCGGCAGGTCCTTATCGAGCGCACGGAACGGGCGCTTCTTATTAATTAATCTCATCTTCGGTTAAGAAAAACGTATCGAACCTCCGCGACCGCGATGCTCGCTTTTCGAAGCTTTCCGCTCCTGTTTTCTTTTTCCCACGGTGACACGCGTGGTGGTTTTTCCTATATCCATGAATAACGCGCGCCACCTCGTCCAACGAACCCCCTAGACTCCCATGAACCTCGCGAAAATGATGGTTGGTTCTCTTTCGCGGTAAAATTTGCAACAAATTCTTCTCAAATGTTCTTCCATCCTGAAGGTCGTAAATAAATTTCGCCGATACTTGGGGGTTTCTTAGTTCTTTTTGGATCGTTTCAAGAGGCAGCTCATTTGGAAGAACATCCATGAAGGAATTCGCTACAGCCAACAGGGATGTCCGGGCAAACATCCATTTAAGGGGCATATGTAATGTAATCTCTCGTGTCGGATGAATGTGACGTATGCACAGTCTAGATTGAACCTTTCGACAACGGGATGTTGAAGTACTTTTTTCATGTGCTTGCTCCACCGATGCAGAAATTGATAGCGAATTGTCTGCTCTAGCTCCTCGTGCACATTAAGGTGGTATGAATAAATCAGCCTATATATATCTGAGAAGTCAAATCGTTGGGGAAAGTATTCTCCGAATTGGATGTACCGATGGAGGCTCTAAAGCAGGTCTTGAAACTCATGAAATTTCATTTTTCATAAAAAATGTATTTATCATGGACTTGAACCAACATGCCGTGGCCGGTGCATATTTTCGATGTTTTACCCTTCTTAGGGGCTTAGAATAGAAAATGATGAGTTTCAAGATCAAGCTCGAACAATTTAGAATACCGTAGAAATAGAATATTACAGAGTCAGATGGGAAAATATCGAAAATAGTTTCACCAACGATTACAAGAGAATGCTGGCTTGTCTCGTGGTAAACACGTTTTTAGAGCGAAAATTTAGTTGTGGCTAAACGCCACAGATGGCGACGTTGGTTCTAAACAATCGTTAGAATAATGAGTTCAATGGATTTCGACAGTTTTACATCGATCTCTTTATCATTACACTACCGAAATAACATATGGATTGCTTGAGTTCGTATAATTCTCAACGTACACTGTAAAAGACTTCAACATAAATATAAATATCGGTAACGGGACGCGCCAGTTTATGTTTCCTGAGTATTCAAAATGACGTTCCCACTAAAAAGGGTGTAGATGGATTTTAATTTATCGGCCTCGATTAAATTTCTCAGTGCCTTTCATATCATCTTAGGGTGAAGTGAAACCCCCCTCAAATCAGTACATTCTAATAACACACTTTTTTTTTAAGGGTATTGGATCGAACATTGACCCTAGAACCAAAATGGCGTCGAGCTCTCATATTTCAATTGATATCCAAGTATTGAAGACTCTGATATGAGAAATTACGATTTCAAGACAATTGCACAACAATTCAGAACAATCTAGTAATCGAGAAACTCGCAATTGTACGGGATAAAGACAAAAAATGTCTTATGCGCTTCTGTGCTAAAACGAAGGTAACGCGAGATCTTGGAGAGAAAATTTAGTTGATCGTAAAACCACAGATGGCGCAGGGTGGCATTCTGCAGTCATTTAGGACATCGAAAACCATGAAACCAAGAGATTTCTGGAGTCTTACTTCGATTTCTTTATAACTATTTAACGGAAACGACATATGGAGTACGCCATTTGGTACAATACCCAATATAATTCAACACTGCTATCGATATAAATACTAACGTCGGCAACGTAGGTATTTAGAAGAATCTTTTTTACCGACGTCGAGGAGATTTCTCTCAGTGTTTCACATCACCTTAAGGATACTTGGTCCTCGGGTCATGAAGGTAAGGTGTGTTACACAAATGCGTCAAAGTCCGAATATACGCGATCGAAATGTCTTGGAATCGGGCCAAGTACGCAGGCGTCGGCCTCAATTAGTCGGATATTACGTTCGAATATCCCGCACACGAATGGCACGCATTAATAACGCGGAAATGAGCGTTGCACCGAGTGTCACTCCCAACCTAGTCGGAGGCAAGAGTTACTCGAGTGCGTCCCTTGGAGGTGCTCATCTAGGGAGGGAAATCTTTTTGCTTGTCAACGGCACATGCATTAGGCCGCCTAGACGACTGCTATGCCAAGTTTAATTAATTGAAAAAGACAGCCGGAGCGGCTAGAGCGTTACCAGGATGCGTCTGCGATGCTTTGTAACGGGTGATAATATTTCTTCCTCGGGATAAAAAGAAAATCTTCCCCCCGATTGACGTTCATTAGTGCAACATTTTCGGAAATTTCGGTAATGAGTAAATGTCATTACTGACATTTTTTCTGAGACAGGAATTTATCATGTAAGGGAGGTAAAGTGTTTCTCCCATATTAAATCTCTTAAGGTTATTGCACATGGTGATTACCCTGCAGATTATCTTTTCTATGAAAGAGAGGATATAGTTATTGCAAGGTGGATCATTTCAGCCTCGTGAAGCGATTTCAAGTGTTCGTGTACGAGGAAAAATAATTTCATTAGAATTACTATAGCGATATGGTTAAAATACCGTGGTAAATGAAACCAGAGAAATGGTGAAATTGACCACATGGAATGGTAATATTAACTACATGAAGAAGTTATAATACGCACAGTAAAATGGAAGGTTTATCTGGGAGCTGTAACTACAATTATATTAAGATTTTACACGTTGCTAGGTTATTCTAAATTTACTTATGTGATTGCAATAGCAATGGTTCGGCCCCATTAGTTTTCGACAGGACCGCCAGATGGCCGGAGTTCTTGCAGACGATACAGACAGCTCATTTTACATATAAGACCCGTTAATATCATTTATATTCAAGTTACAAAGACCCTGCCCCTTTCCGAAGAAGAGGTAAAAGGGAAGCGATCTTCGAGAAATCACCCTTTTAAGCATCAAATGATGTTTTACTACTTAAGGTAGAAATGCATGTGAATGCTAACAGGCACATAAGTATAATGTACGCAATCACAAAAATAGAATTTTTTATCTCGACGGTAAATTTCTAAATGGACATTCACGACTATGCATAATGTTGGGACAACTCGTTCCTTGTAGTTACATTGACTAAATCGTGAAGTAACACTTTTACTATGTCACGCAGGTTATTGCAACTTCTTCCCAAGATTGTTCCGCATGTTGCCTTGCAATCACTACAATTGTGGCTTTTCTAACCGTTCTTTTTTTCCATGTAGGTAATTGGTTTTACACCGCGAGTACATGTCATCGTCACAAGTCAAAAAGACCCTACCTCTTTCCGAAGAAGAGGTAAAACGGAAGCGATCTTCGAGAAACCACCCTTTTAAGCATCAAATGATGTTTTACCACTTAAGGTAGAAACGTATGTGAACGCTAACAGGCACATAAGTATAATGTACGCAATCACAAAAATAGAATTTTTTATCTCGACGGTAAATTTCTAAATGGACATTCACGACTATGCATAATGTTGGGACAACTCGTTCCTTGTAGTTACATTGACTAAATCGTTTTTACTATGTCACGCAGGTTATTACAACCTCCTCCCAAGATTGTTCCGCATGTTGCCTTGCAATAGGGTTACAATCACTACAATTGTGGCTTTCCTAACCGTTCTTTTTTTCCATGTAGGTGATTGGTTTTACACCGCGAGTACATATGTCATCCAAAAAGGACTCGAGGAATTATATCGCCAAATCGAATCAACGGTCGTGCAGTGAGTTGAGACAAAGTTAATGCAAACAGTTCCTAAGACGGATCCTGTCAATGTTCGGCGCCGTTCGTCTGGATCGGACTGTCGGTCAGGAATTCTCGATTTGTGCGCGCATGTTCAGCCAAAGGAGAAATGGAAGACAACTGCGCGCCGAAGCCAAGTCGAGGATGCCCGAAAAGGAACAAACCGCACTCTCGTGAGGCTCGATTCACATTATGCGTGTCTTTAGTAGAACTCAAATAATGCTTGAAAAAACAGGACAATTTTTCGACCGAAATTTCGATGATGCAAAACAATGACGAGGCAACGGTACTCTTTTTACATATATTTACCATCTTTATCGAGCTACATTTGATTTAGTTTAATCGCGCTTGATTTTCAATGTGCGATGTCATATGTATGTTCATCTTGTACAGATAATTTTATTTAAACCGTTTATGTTAAACGGTAATGCGTGGTCGAAGGTACTCTCACGTGTTGTAAATCAACCCTAAGATACTAGTCTGCTTCGTGCTTTGCACGCTAATCCATCTGTCAGTCATTCGCTGTCACATGGCTGTCACTAACGGTAGTCACAAGGCTCGTTAACGCACTCGTAGTTTCACCAAGGTGATTCGCCTGGATAGACGTACCACTTTGTATGGCCGGAGGGAAAACAAGAACAACGATCGTCGAGAGGCGCCACTTCGAAGGTGCTAGGGATCGTGAAGAATTAAAGTGGTCATAAAACGTCCATTGGGAAGAGAACCGCGGGTTACCCTTTTTGGGATCTTTAATTTTTATCTATAATAACAAGACCATAAGTGACGTCAAAAGATACCGCAGAGAAACTTTTCCATTGATTGCTTCTGACATATTGTTATTTATTTGTGA